CAATCATAACAATCGAGAATCGAGTGAATGTACAAAATCAGACGAGAAATCTTGTGACATTGAAGAGTTGGAAGGTAACTGAAAGGTCGAGAATTTTTAAAAGTAACTACATTTACGACAGTTCCCTTACGTGTTAGACAGAGAATCTTACTTTGTCAGAGGTTTATATTCATACAAACATATCCCTTCTCCTACTTTTATAACTCATGTATGCACGTCATATCCCAATATTCTTCCTTTTTTCTAAGACAGAAATAACATAATCTATGTGATCAGGATAAAATCTTTCAATTTCCTTGATTATGATATGTTAATAATAAAATGATCCCAAATAGCTATAGGAATAGCTAATATGGAATTTGGAAATACATTTAATTATGGTTAAATATGCGTTTATTAAACGCTATTTTCGCGATAATACACGCTAGGGTCATAACAGATGACAGATTCTATTTTATTTTAAAAAAGTAACAACCAAAACATATACATTATATAAGTTACATTGATGATGTTGCGTAAAATACACAAAGTGAAGTTAACGTCCTCCATTTAATAGACGGTTGAAACATGAGTAAATACACCTACCTAAATAAATATATCAATGTTGTGTCCCTTGTTCCAATGGATATGACCTGGCAATGATCTAATGTACCAGCATTGGCCACTGTGCCTATATGTGTACATTATTATCCCAGAGGATTATAGTCCCCCGTGTTATTATTCCCCTTGTGTATTTGTTTCTTTTTCTTGTGTAACCATATACTTTCTTATGTTACGCAATAGCTATAATTTTTTCTATTAGATACTAAAATGGGCAGATTTATAGCTCAATATTAGCCATTTAACAGTTGCAGAGAGAAACAGTATGATTAACAAATGCATTTTTGAGGAACTTCAGGATTTTTAACATTATAACTTACCTGTAGACCAAATTACTGCAAGAACTCACATCCAAATAACTTATAAATTTTTAGAATAATAATAAATAAGCCGTCCCGAAGCAAGGACCACGTCTTAAAGAAAGTATTTAATATGAACATGGTTGGACGGAAAGGGAAAGGACCACCGAAAACAAGATGGATGTTTTGTGTGAAAGATGATATGCGTAAAAGGAGAGTAAGCTCAGATATAATGGCCGATAAGGATTAGTGGAAGAAGATGACATACTCCGCCGACCAATGAAGATAAATCGTGTAAATTTCTAATAAGTGAATGTTTTTGAGATTAGTTACCTAATTACTTTTTTGGATTGATCCATTACAAATAAAAATCAAAACATTCTCGTCTATGAGAACATTAATTTAGATTAGTAAATATTTTTTATCAAAATTAATTGCTTTATCTATTATGTTATGTTTAATAACAATCACCAACCATTTGTTTACAAAACATATATCTTTATCAAAACATAAAAAATTAAGCTATAATAATTAATTAAGAGATGGTAAATAAATTTGAACACAAAGTAATGTGAAGATAAAGTGTAATACACTTAGATAGGTCTACTGTACCAGCGGACACGATAAATATGAGATGAGGTTGATGACACCCCGATTTGATAATATGCCAAAGATATCTGTAATCTAACCGTTCACTGGTTACTCTCAGTGAACCTTATATAATGAAGGCTGTACACAACTTGGCACCATACATCAAGGACGGCTCATATTAATTTAATATTTATGTTGTATATTTCACAGAGAACCAACTAGGGCCAATGGACTCAGTATTATAAATATTATATACATACATATTAATAACAAAGCAAGTTTATTCGCCTTATCTTTACTGGAACAGTGTTGCCACCTTAGTACTTTTATCACGTATGAATTTGACCCTCCTATGGTGGGAAAAATTTGCTTCTGTTGATCAAAAGTGGATTTATTCCTAGATTTGAAAACGATGCAAATAATTACAAAGTAACAGTAATAAATTACTTAAATAAATTAATAATTACAAAAATGTTGTGATTACTTAAAGTAATAAAATTAGTAATCTATTTTTTTTATAATATTTATCAAATAAATTAAATATAATAATAATATTAATAAATTAAACAACTTATTTTCTTTACAATAGTTATTAACATTGTTCAATTAAACTGAATAATGATTGATGTTGTTAGTACTGTTTTTCATGCAAAATTGTGTTATTGGTTTCCAAAGTTGTGTTTAAGTGAATTGAAGAAAGCTTGTACAAATTTTGTTGGCAACACTCTACTGGAGTGACTGTCATACAAGAATGTACTATGAAACTATAAGAACTCAAATAAGCATATTTATATATTCAGAGATAAGAAAGAGTCATTTAGAAGGTCACTACTGATACTAATGCAAGTCCTATTTATACTACAATCCTAGGTTTAAAGGCAGAGGATACTCAGGAAGCTTGATTATGAAAATTTCTAAGTTTACATACAATTTTAAATTATATATGACTGCAGGAATGACTTTACACTTAATTTGACTCAGATTGTCACCGTTAATTTAATTGATTGAGTACTACTACATTTCCTGCTTTAAATACTCTTTCCTATTCATAAATTATGCAAATATTACACATATAAAATACTACTATAATATATATATACTTATATTTATTCTAATTAGTTTTTATAACAATGGCATACAGTTAATAATTAAATAAGAGCAAATTAATTAATTGCTGGTAGTTTGTTTTCCTTAATACAATGTATAATGACTTAATTGTTAATTTAATTTATCTAAAGTAATATTATATATAATGTTAAGAGGAAGTATTTGATTTTACAGCCTCTGTTGACTACTGATTTCTCATACAATTTAGTTCCAACTGTCATAATTTCGATTCCTCATACAGTACAAGCAATTGTTCATAAGTAAGATTGTTTGTATCCAGCTGGGTGTTTTCTATGTATATTATGTATGTATTTGCAAAAAAATATATGTACTTATATTAGTTGTCTAGTGCATAACAGAAGCTCTGTTTACCTTGGGACTAGATCTTGTGTGAATTGTCCAGGGGTAAATTATTATCATTTCTACTGATAAGAGATGAGATCTAAGAATAACTATCCTATTTGAAAAATATATACCTCCATACATAGAAAGCTATATTATTTATGGATAATAAAATTATAAAATACATCATGTATTTTATTTTTAAAACCACTTGTTATTAACAATTTAATGTTTGCATATCATCTTTTATAGTAGTGTCATCAGTAATATTTCAATTTAGAGACTAAATTATTTCATTTACATTGAAATTGATAATTATTTAAATATGAGTATAACATTATTTTTCTATGCTTATTTTTTAAAACAATGTTAAGTTAAACTCTCAGTGTTATGATGCAGTAGATTAAATTAATTGAGACAATAAGTTAAATTGAGATTAATTTAAAAAATAATTTTAAGGTAAGATTGTATTTTAATGAAATGGTTGTTATTTACACTAAAAGAAAGTAAAACGCTACATTATGTTACACTATAAATTTAAGTAAACCCTTAAATTAAGGTCTATGTGGTCTAGTGGTTTATATTAGAAAAATACCTTACTTCCGATGGTAGTAAGTTCCATTTCTTGCATAGTACAAAACATTTGTATTATTGAGTATGATTGTCTGTATTAATCTTGGTGTTTTCCATGTATAACATGTATGTATATAAGATATATATATATATTTAGTAAGTATGTCTATAAGTTGTCTAATATCTATAATACAAACTTGAAAATAGATGGCACTGTATGTGTTCTGTATTCTCCTAGATTATTACTATTATTATTACTGAGAAAATGTAGTGGAAATTACAATTATATGAACAACAGAGATAACCTATTTGTACATATTGAATAAAAAAATTTAATTTTATATAGTTAATTAATTAATGTAAGTCTGTTTGGCTATGCATATATAAAAACATCAATATATTTATAATTAACCAAGTGTGGGCAAAATAGTTCATATGTTATTAATTTACTTAACTGTTCACTGGACTAGATAAGTTCTAAAATAATATAGAATTTTACAAAATGTCCCACAACACTAGTGCTCAAACTCTTTAATTGTTATATAAATACTATAACAATATTTAGTATTTATTTGTAGATTTAGTTATGTTCTTTTTGTCAGTATATTATTATTAATATATATTGTAATAGTATATTTCAAAGATGTCATAATGTGGTCATCATGTGATAAAGAATTATCATATTACTATTACAAACATTGGTGAAGGTATCTTGTGAGATAAATCACAAGCACATATGGCATGTGAATCATGTTTTAAGATAATACACACATGTGTCTCTCCATAAACATACTAGGTCCACTCACATATTGTAACAAGATGTTGAAATAATAAAAATGTTTATTTTCTCATATTTCTACATGTACAACTTCACTGAGTTATCAGCTTAGTATCAAAATGTATTTTAATTGTAACTTTATTTATTTATAAACTTATATAATCGATTTAATTTAGTATTCTAAACAACATAGAGTTGTTCTTTCAAAAAATATTTAGAAGACATGGAAATAAGATTAATTACATTACTTAGAATTTCTGCCATCAAAATTAAGTCATGTTCGTGTCTAGTTTACTTTTTAATTTACTTTTTATTCCCAAACTGAAAATATTTAGTTAACTTTATCAAAACATTGCAGATGAAATCTGTTCACAAAGATAATTGTATTTCTGTGAACAGATTACTTAGTGTAACTGTTTTAATATTTATAAACCAAGAACGCGTGAATATTTGTTTTTAGTAAATTAATATATAGAGCAATTAGACTTTAAAGCTTTTTCTTTGACAAAGTTTAATTGGTAATAAATTTTTCATTTCGCGATAACCTATGAAAATTAATTTATTCGCCCAGCGAACTCTCTGTCAGCTAAATGAAACTGCACTATATTACAAGAAATAATTATCTTTTCATAATTTAACTATATTTATTGAACCAATAAATAGGCCAATAAATCCTAAATTGTGAACAGAAACATAAATTAAATACATACCCTTAGAAGTACAGTATAGTTATGAGGTCATCCAAAAGTCCAATAAGAGAAAACATTATCACGAAAAAACACACAATGCACAGTTTTCACAAACACATAATTCCTAATAAATTAATTAATCCACACCCGCGCAAATATTAAAATCTGTTTCTTATTGACATAAACACAAACTGAGCGTACGCCATATGCAGGTACGTTCCACACATTAGATCACTGTCATTTTATTCTTACCGGTCTGGTTCTAAACTTTCATTCAACTTTACGTTAATTGGTATTGCTTCTCCTCTTATTCACAATCTTATTAATACAATTACACAGATAAACGCTTTTAAAATATCAATGAGGTTTTTATTTAAAAAGATGAAACTTAAGGTATTTTTAAGATTCAAGATAAAATAACCTAGAAATAAATCTTATCGTGAGTATAAGTTCTGAACGCGTCCGGTTTTGCATTTCACTTCAGTCGAGTGTGACCACCGCACGAACTTCATTACACTTCGCTAGCGACGAGCTTTGATTTCGATTTACGGAAGAGTGTCGATGTATGTGGGACAGAGATAGCGCCATATTGTATTTTTTAAGTCAACGGCCTCTATGAGCACACTGCTAGAAAGGGACTATATTGTTATACTGTGACATTTTCGTAGCACCGTACGTAGCATCACTAGCATCAGTAGTATTTATTTAACTAAGAACAAACAGTAATAAGTACGCACTTAAAAACCATTACCCTCACGACTATTATCCTAAATGGGGTGGCCAGAGACATAACCCTAAAAGGTGGACTCAGAACATAATACCTATGATTCATGCAATATTTTGCACTAGAACAAGGTACACCAACAACTTTGATTTATTTTCGGTGTTATCTGTCAATGAAAAGTTAATGAAATGGAACAAAAATGAACTTAAAGTGATTTAGATATGTAGGTTCTCGATTCTATGATGGAACAAATACCCAAGAGAGATAGAAATGACTGAGAACGGAGTCTTGAAATCTTAGTCCTGTGTTGACACATATTTACAATTTATAGTGAAATATTACTTTAATTTATAACTCACCAGACAGTTGGAAACTCCCTGCATTAATTTATCCAACTGTAGCATGAATATAGAGAAAGTAAATAATTATGTATACAGAAATATTACGGGCAGTAAATGAAAACCGTATGTTAAAAATAATTATCTCTATATTATGTCTCTTATTATAAATTATAATAAGAGACGCAGTTACAATAGTAAATAGATAATAAGCTAATAAAACAAAAAGAAAAAAAATACGGAATTAGTGAGTTTAGAGTAATATAACTAAAAGGAAAACAACTGAAAATATCGGATTGGAAAGGACATTGAATACTGGAGTGATGATACCATCACTGCACTCCACAGAAGCGAATCATTGGAGTGCAGTAGGTACACACTCCAGCATCTAAAACCGCAACAGGCTTTCAGCTCCTGTACATAAAATATGAATTTATAAAAGTGAACAAATATAGACACAGATTCGTTTTAAATAAGTCTCTCATTCCGTAATCTAACTACATCTTCACAGGACGACGTGATGTTCGTACTGCTGTTCATGTTTATATGCATCGGATGGTGAGGTTTTAATAGACAAAAATGCATAATGTCCTTCTGGAGAAAATTGAAGCCATTTTCTGCTTTTACTATAATAAACGCCATAGAGCAGTAGACACATGGCAGACGTCCCCTCTCGGTCGCACCCTCACCATGACTCAGTACCGGTAAGTGCATTCCATTCGACATATAACATATCTTATTGTATCTATGGTACCCATGGGAAATACGTCCGTGTTCTCGTCAGCTAGTTATGGTGTTGGAAGCTGCTGGGGTCACGTCTCACTGATTGCGATTCGCTGGTTATTTTATGAATTACCTACAATTTCTACCTGATAGTTTAGATTGTAATAGATATATTTAGTTTTCACTGTACTATCAAAAGTTACACTTTTTATATGTGACACTTATGTACACGAGTACCTGTTATTTGATATATTACATGATACACCTCCTTACTGTATGACAAGAAATATTTTGTCTGTTGAGTCTACTGATTATTTATAAAAAACATCAAATAAATTTAACAATTCATAATTAATTAACAGTTAATTCACAGTTAAGAGATTGAAACTTTAGATCTCTGTCTGCCTCATAAAGTTTGGCATATATACATACAAAATCGATTGCTTAGCTGATCAATCAACCAAAAAAACCGCAATTTTCCACACCAACAATCACAGTGGTGTAGTTTTATATCAGTACTACCTATTCATGTGTGTAAAAACCTGATCGGTTAAATATTATTTTGAGTTCATAATAAATTATATGTATTATTTACGGAAAATATCAAGAAAAATACATGGTAAGAATATTTATTATAAATTATAATAAACTAGCTGACCCGATAGATGTCCTTTATTGACTATGAATATTCAATTGAGAATGGTATCATTAATAAAACAAAATTCGCAAACTATTTAATTTTATCTTTCTTTCTGTTGACAATAACAAACACAACAAAAAATTATTAATAATTAAAATAGGTCCAGCCGTTCACGCATGATGCTGTGATCAAGGTAAGTAGGGATTTATTGTTATGTATAATATATAGATAAGCTTGTCCCATAGACAATACACTTAAAAACAAGTGATGAAACATAACCAAAAAAAACGTCTGCTATTTTATAACTGTGTAGATAAAAGGTGAATAAAATCACGGAAATAGCTCGTTAATATTTAGGCACTTATATTGTATTTATTTAAAACGAAATACTATTTCTGGTAAATGATCAATAATGTTGTAGTTTGTTATTTTACTAGTTAAGTCCGCGTCTTTCTAACCCTATAATTTTTTAATAGTAAAACGTAAGTATGAATTTAACACAAAATTTTAAGTGATGCTTACCATAACATACTAACTTTAGAATAAACCGCTTACAGAAAAAAGATAATAAAAAAAAAACATTGCTTATATTATGGTAATAAAATCCACTAATAATAGTTTTTGTAATATGTATTTCATGTACAAACAGCGACCAGTATCATTTTTACTATACCTATGAAACAATCTATTCCTGTTAAAAGTTCAATAATGTAGTAGCTTATTATTTTATTCTATGCTTTATTATTGGTTACATGAAAGTTATAGGCAATAGAGGCAGACGGGAGCATCTCGATTGTCCTGGGGGACGCAACACTGCCTCATAATTGTATTTGAAGCGCTCCAGCCATATTGCCTGCACTCTGCACTAGACGAACGATGGTCTATTTTATTGTGTAGATGTAGACGAATGAGATTTATACGTAATATTCAATTTATTAGGTACTAGCCGTGCTGGTGGTTTCGCTTGTCGTTTATTTTCAAAGAAGTGGCAATCTCTCGATCTACAGCATCGCATTGCATCACCTGCACAAGATATTACTTTCTTTCGCTTAGTATTCGTTCTGATTTTTATTTTTTTGCCTAATGGTTTTTGTTTTAATGCGCATACTCCTAGCCTAGTTTTTATATATTATTCTTATAGACACTCAAGGGTGGAATCTGGTCAACTAAAAAAAATTTTAATAATTTTCTACTGAAGTTGATCCTCAATGAGAATTCTAGTAAAATTCTAATAAAACCTGTGTCACATATATTATTTTATCCATATTCATAAATATAATAAAATTTCTAAAACTATACAAAATATTCTATAATTCTTTAATCTAAATCCTGAAGGTATTCATATATTACTTATTCAGTACGAAATTTCCGATAAACTTACTGTCTTTCTTGTGTAAAGGTAAGCGACAAAGCTGTTTTAGTGAATATACAAAGCGTTCGTGAGGAGGTACCTTCAAAATCGGCTTAGTTCCGGTATTTCTATTCAGTATACCGTCAGTTAGAGCCTGTCGTTCCGCTCTAAATCCAACGAAATCTCTATTCTTTCAGATTTCCGTTTCATGCATCACTTTTCACGTTAAAACTTATTTGAAGTCATTTACTTTATGGTAACATTATTTCTCTTCGTCTCTACATAAAAAGCTAGTAGCGACTTTTTTCGTTCGGAGAAGATTAAGGTAAACGCGTACACCATATAAAATAAGAGTTTTATATATAGTCAAATTACAAAACACACTTCATGTGTTATAAAATATATTTTTTTCTGCGCAGTAAGATGTCATCCGATATGAGACAATTGAATGCCACAACAACACAAGCACACATGAAGCAAGCTTATGATTAGATATTCATAATTATTACAAAAATAAATATTTGAAAAATAAGCTGTTTTTGCAACAATATTAGTATGTAAATGCAATGCAACTAGTAATGTTAAATTAAATAACAAATCAATTATCTTTTTACTAAGTTCATCCCATCATAATATACATAAGTACATATTATATCATAAAGTAGCGTACTTCCCCGTCCTCACAGCCCGTTCACAACACGAGTACTTACCTGTTTACTTATGCTAAATAGAGCGTGATATCCAGATAACAATATGATGCTTTATTTATTATAAATTCAATGCTTTACAAGCCTTTATTCAAAATTTCATATGATTTTAATATTTCTACTAAATTCTAATCGCGAATTTACTTACATTAAATAAATAAACAACTAGTTTTTACGGTTAAAAAAACATTAAACTCGTGATATTTGGACTAGGTACAATATCTTAAAATGATTGAACTTTCAAACTTACTATGTTATATTACATATCTGTGCTATTACTATCCAATAGAGTTCTATTATTGTAGTAGAACAAACCGCTACTATACACTGATACATCACATGCATAGGTAGTTGGAAGAAGTTGAACGAATATACAATGAAATCCTAATATAATAAGTACTTTTATACACAATATCATTTCATTTATAGATATATTTACTACAAGTACAGTACACAACCACTCCAAACCCTTTTAAATAAGTCGTAACGTCGTATTTTTCAGATACGGTCGCTTATTATATTACGATATTCGTTTGTTCACATTGAAATCGTAATGTAATGCGAGGCCTAAATAAACATATTATTATTTATTCTTCGAAACATATTATAAATAAAATACAGAACCTTACAGGCCGGTTACAGATGGAATGTTTGAAATAGAAAAATTATACAATCGTGAAGACAGGTCATCAATTGAACAACTTTATAAATTGAGGGATTTCCGTTG